CACTCTGGTTAAGTCTCCATTTTTAACAAATCTCCCAACTCTTCGTGTTGTCTAGCCTCGGATTAGTGTAACTCATTCCTGTTACTGGCCTCTTTCATTATTCTTGGCCCGTCACAAATACAACCGAAATGCACTACGCTGAAATGAAATGCACTGAACAGAACTGAAGTCACTCTAAAAAGACCATTCACCTTCCCCGGAACACATTTCTCCTCATTTACAGTTCCAGTTATTGATTCTGCAACTTAAATTATCTGAAGGCAATTTCTCACTTAGTAAATTAAGGAGGATTTTATTTTTCTCTTCAGGACACTGGAAATAAATTAAGATTTTTCAGTAGAGGTATGGTGCCTGATTTTGGATTTGGTTGATGGTGACTTAATGGACTCTTGTGTTTGATTATTATTTGGGTTGTGTGTAACCAGATTTTAATGATTATTTTAATTAGTTCGCTTTTTCTATTCACTTGTGCGATTTGGCTGTGTGGATGTGAAGTTATCCGGGCTATCCCTTTAACTTATTCATGAAAATATCTTTCTAAAGTGACAAGTGGAGTTTCACCTTTTATTCCCTTGTCTGGTGCACAACTTCTTTTACATTTTAGAAACACCCCTATGTGACACTTCGACCCCATGAGCAGGCCAGTCTGAATTTGTAGTCACTGATGGGATTGAAGCTGATCTAAAAATTCTCGCCTGCAGCTCTACCAAATTTGAAATGACGCACAACAAATGCTGGACTTGTTTGAATACCAGGCGGCATCTTCACTGAATGGGCCGCCGATTCACTTCAGACCCAGTCTTTTGAAACCATGACCAGTGTGGTCCAAGCATAACTAAGACACATTCATCAGAGGGTCATGTCATGCTCCTGTAAAGGATATGAGATATAAGTGTTTTCACAAACTGGCTGCTTGTATTTACCTCCCGCTGGCGCCACATCTAGTAAAAACTCAGCGGGTTCCTGTAGCAACTGATGTCTCTGTGGACTCTCTGCCGCCGCAGGATAATGGAGCTTCACAGGTATCAGAGATGAAAAACAGCCCATCAGCAGGCACTCAAGTAAAGAAATGGTCGATGAAAGATGCCCTGAAACGTTTATTCAACACGGATATTTCAAGTACCAATAAAAAAACAGCAACAACAACCAATGTTCTAATATTCCATGAAGGACAACAACATCTCTAATCCCTGTTTCTCTGTGGTGTGTCACAGGCAAGATAACATGCTTTAATTGTATGAGACGTCAAAGGAAATGTGGTCCTAAGTCGTCATGTGGAGGTGAGATGAGAAAACCAAGAGAGCAAAAAATGAAATTGGTTATATTCTTAAGTAGAGGAGACAGAAGAGGAAACCTGGAGATGAGAAGATGCTGAGTTAAATTCACACACACATAATCCTGCACTGTAGACTTCATCTTTTTTTTTCTTCATGATTTATAACCTTAGTTTGTGAAAATACAATAAAGGAAATGAAGTATTTAACAAGGAAAAGGTTACGCTCCGCACATAAAATGTCACGAAAATATCAAGCATAGGATGCTGTGTCGTCTTCAGTGATCAAACACTAAATGGCTATTTTTGCTCAATTATCTGTAAATGCACTCCCCTGCCTCTTATGTGGTGCATCACAAAATGACATATCGAACCTGTTTGGAAACAGCACAGAGCTCAACAATGTGCTGGAGGACACTGTTCAAAAAATCATGTGTGAGCTCAACAATAAACAATGCAACACTTTAGGTCAATCTTTAAATTATGTTCAACTAACAAACTCCATTAGAGAATTATCATAATTTCCAGACTATAAGACGCTACTTTTTTTCCACGCTTTGAACACTGCGGCTTAAACAACGATGCGGCTAATTTATGGCTTTTTATGGTTTTTACGAGTTTGCCTTGAGATGAAAGTGACATTGAGAACGAAAGAAAGACTGAGGAAGTGTGTGATGAAGTGATTCTGAGGCTGTTCACTTCTGACACTGAAGAAGACCACTTTATTGGTTTTAGTGCACAGGAGGAAGATGAAGATCGCGATCAGTGACGTTTCCTGGTAGACTACTGCATTTTTTATTTTCTTAACTGGGCATGTTACAGGCACTGTTTGGAAAAAAGCATTTACTGGTACGTATTTAATTAAAAGTCTTCCTTTGTAAATATCTCATGTTACAATGTGGGTACCTGCGGCTTATAGACAACTGCGGCCAATATATGTACAAATTTTTCTTTCTTTTTAAAATTGGTGGGTGCGACTTATATTCAGGTGTGCTTAATAGTTCGAAAATTACGGTAGCCTTCCTTAACACTCAGTTATTTTTAATTTCTTGATAATTGGTGGGGATAAACAGAAGCTTTTAAGTTGATTACTCATAAAAACTAAGTTGCACCAACAATTGTTTCCGTGTTACAAAATCACAGTTTTAGGTTGGGGGGGGGCGGTTGCTGCAATTAGACTTTTTTTTAGAAGTTGTTGGCGTTTTATGTTTTCTCTGTTCATGTCGTAGCTTTAAAGACAACAGTTCATTCAACACCAAAGTTGTTAGGCAAGTTTTTTGTTTGTTTTATTGCAGTGTTGTAGAGGAATACAGGTCATATTGTTCTGGAAAAATGTCACCTTTGCATTTGTTCAGCCTACTGGTCCTCTAACACGCCGTCTGAACTGTCTGAATTTGTCCACGTATTTTAGGAGTAAGGCTGCAATCTTGAACTCAGTGAAGAAAAATGAAATTATCAAGCCAATTTCATTAGTTTTTAATCAGTTAACATAGAAATTTGTGTTTAAATTACACACAATTTTAAGTTGATGCAATCACCAACATTATTGTGTCAGCACAACTTGTCCAAACAGTGTCAATAAATGAGACTTTTCTCTTGCGAGCATGCATTTAGTAAGTACCCTGGATTACTTTTTAGAGGGTATATATGCAAGAATGTAAGACTGTAGAGACAACATGACTCATGGAAAACCTCACTGACAACTAAGAAGGTGCGATAGGACGAAATCTTTACAGCCAAAAACCTTGACGACTGGACTGAATGTTTCACCTTTGCACTAAGTGATGGCACGCAATGGAAAAGAAGCTGCACCTTAAGTTCCAGAGTGGGACGCTAAGAGAGCCTCATTTGAAAGTCATATGTATTTTGATGCTCATTCGTGTGTCACAAATGATCATTAGTTATTGTTTTAACGTGCCACAAGCTAATCGTTGTTGCCTTTTTTTCAAAACCTGCTTTTTGAGAAGTCAGACTGTGCTTTTACCACATCCTCATGATGAGAGGATGTGGTAAATACACAGTGTGCACCACGAAACAGACTTACGATAATATCTCTGCTTGATCAGTTGTGTTTCTGCTCTGTGAGTGTGTTTGAGGAAACTGTTAATCTGCTGTTTGCAGTTGTGGCAACTTCACTGTGTTTAGCATCACAGATTTCTATCACTAAAACTCATTTAATTAATGATCCCAATCAATATTTTTATTTACCTCTTTGGATGTGTTCGTGGAGATCAGGTGGTGGTAAAAGACATAAACGTGCCTGAGAGAACAGGGAAGGAAGGAAAATATGCAATGACCATGTTATAATGCAATTCACAGTTCTTTCTGGATCAGTTTTAAGTCTAGTATCTCTGATGCTTAAATCCCTCCCCTTTAGTATGGATCAGATCATTTCCAATTTTAATGAGAACACATTGCTGGTTTGGTTGTGTGTGAATTTATATATAAATATTTTCTTGTCCTATTTGAATCCTGATTATGAATCCTGCTCTAATATAGTGGATTTGGAAGGACATGTCACATTTTACAGAATAAAAATTCTAACGCAAGAACAGAAGTTATTTTATGCTGTAAAGAAAAAATCTGTTTTTAAAAAAATGGTAAAAATCTGGCAACAGGAGTGAAATAATGACTTAAAAATGAATCGAATACTGTAATGTTCAAGAACAGTGAAAATAATTTTTAAAAATCTATAAAATAGTTGTATTTTTAGCTAGTTTAAACACGATAAAGCTTTCATTTTATAGTTGTAAAAAAATGTATATGCAAGAATTTTTTAAATAGTCGACATGTCAGTACTATTAGATACTATCTGCAATTTAATATGATGAAATAATTTACCTTTAATCAGTCCTTAGTTTACACATCTTTTCTTTCAAATAATGGCAAATACTTGTAACATTATACTGTGTATATATATATATTGCTCATTCAAATACAATTGAAAAGAGTTATTTATTTGTTTAAATTAAAGATATATATTTTTAGTGTGGACATTGTTTACAATTTTGTTTTTGCAATTAACATATAAATCAATACTTTTTGTGTTTAATTTTATGTGTAATTTAACATAATGGGGAATATCCATAAAACAACAAGAAACTGTTTTTTTGTTTGTTTTTTAATACTGTAAAAACTTCTGTATTTTTTTTTTACAGTGTCCACCACCAAAAAATGTTCCCCAAACACCTCAAACATCCGCGATAAATGTTGAACACATTAAGATATGTTTTGGTTCCAGTGTACTTCCTTGTTTGTCTCAGTGTGTGTGTGTGTGTGTGTGTGTGTTCGCCTCCAGGTGATAAATCCTCGTCAAACCAGTCCGACAGGGAAAAAAACCGCTTCTCTTGTCCTAATTGCACACATCAGTTTTCTGCTGCTCCACCCTCAGTCTGTCAGACGTTTGGTTTGCCAATGCTGTAAAGCCTTTAGTCCTTGTTTCTCTTACAACATCAAGCTGATTCCTACAAGAGAATAAAACTAAGAAATAAAAAAAGAAGGGTTTTCGTCCCTATTATGGGAAATAGACGCAATTAGCTGATCAAAACGTCTGATTCTGGCATCTGTGGATATAAAGTGCTGCGTAATTGGACAACATGTTGCGCCTGCTGTCAGCAAATCCTGAGAAATTTTGCTCTCATTTGTGCACTATCCCTGTAAAGGCAGGTATGCTTGAAGAGAGGACAGGCCAAAACACGTCAGGCGGGCGGAACAAAAATGTTACCTGAGCCGCAGAAGGCTCGGTGATTGGCGCAGAGCGCCGTCAGTCATCTGGACGCGTAGGGCGCACCCAGCGAGCGCATCAGTCTCAGGACGCTCTTTGGTTTCGATGCAAATGTTTACCGGGCGGCTCCGCTCCCCCATTTCATTTTAGGCACCCAAATCGACCAAACACAGAAGAGCAAAGTGAAGTTTAAGTTGAGAAAACAAGCCTTTGCCATGGAGAGGAGGATTTCTACGTTGATTCTGCTCTGTGTGGGTGAGTAAGAAATAACATTTGCTTCTCTCTTATGCGCCTTTCCGATCTGCCACACCTGTTTGCGCACCTTCTGGTTCACCTTCTGAAAAGGAGCAGGCCCGAGCCTGACTATGAAGGTGCTCGGTCTTACCGATTTGCTTCTAAGTCAGTCTGTTTTTCTCAACAAAATATAGAATCAAACAGAATGCAATTAATAGAAGGTAAGGAGCTTTTGAAATGAAGGCAGGCCTAACACATGATGACTCAGAATGGTTTTGGTTTCTCTCTAAAGCCTATAGAACTTGCTCCAAAATTATGGGTGTCTCAGTCAAATACGCATGAACAAAGGGTTGCACCAACTGTTATTTGAATTTTTGATGAATCTATCCTATATGTTCTCGTTTATTGGGTAAAATGTCTATTACATGTTCCCAGAGCCAAGTATGGCGCCATAAGTGCATTTTTTGCAAAAACCCAAGATAATTCATATCGTGGGAAACCAAAAAAAACAATGACTATTTATGTAGGGATGTGAATTGTTCATGTTTTGCTTATAAAACCTGCTGTTAATTGCACATTTCCTCTGTTGTGCTGTGAGTATGTGGGTGGGAGGGTGGGGTACTGAGCTATTTGTAACTCCACATTTGCTATTTTTTGCTGCTGCTGCTACCATTTAAGTAAAAACTCTAATGCAGACAAACAGAACATTATCAGCCTGATCACAATTTCACACTTCTCATAAATGAAAGAGTAATTGTGTGCAAATTCTAATTATCAGTGTGACTGTTTTTAAATCAGCCTTGTCAGGTGTTGGCGCCCTTCAAGTTGTCATCCCTCAACCTTTGTACGAGCACGCCCGGGGCGACAACATCACGCTGCCCTGCACCTTTACACCCAGAGCTGACCTTGGACCACCACAGATGGTCATCATCTCGTGGTCTGTTGAGGGTACACAAGCTAATGCCAAAGAGGTCAGTACATATCCATCTATCCATCTATCTATCCATCTATGGACATGTCTTCTTGATTTAATATTCCTTTCATGCTGTCGTTTTCCAACAGATCCTGATCCTCTCCTACTATTACCCCACTAAAGTTACTGACATCAAATCAATATACGAAGGCCGCGTGTCCATAGACGTAGACATCCCGAGTGGACGGGCCAACCTGAAGCTGAACTCCATCACACTAGCGGACAACAAGAATTTTGAGTGTCGAGTCCAGATCCCAGGGGACGATGAGGGCAGGCCAGCCGCCAATACACGTTTGGTGGTTCTAGGTAACATTTCAGCGAAATATTTGACTTCTAAGGATTAGATCCAGTATTAGAGATGTTTAAGCTCAGCCAGTAAAATGTTTATCCCTTGTCATCTCTGTTATGTCCGCTGGTTGTTCTTAGTGAAATGAAGAGTCAGAAAGATCTGTTTAACATTTTGTTTTCTTTACATTTCAACATTTACCGGTATAAATCATGGAACAGTTTTAATCCCGTGAACCCCAAGTCTTACACCTCTTTTGAAACAGCACAACCATGGCTAGAAGAGGAGAAACCTCAGAAATGTGTCGTGTGCAGGATAATAAAGCTGTATTGCTGTAAATCATGAGAAAGGAAACAAAAGTTGAATTTCTTTGATGACTTGCTTTATAAAAAAATGGTCAAATCTGTAGTTAACATGTCCAGCAGTTTCCTAATTGACCACAGATGTTACCGATACTTAGAAAAAATCAGTGACTCTACATACCATAATATTTTACTGCTTGCATGTTTAATTTGTCTTCATACTCCTGTCTGTTCTGCAGTTCACCCAAAAAAATCCTCAAATTTTTGTCACATGACTGGTGGTCACAGCAGAATCAATGGCAGTGCAGATTTTTTTGTTTATTACATGATCTAATTAGAGTAAACTAGAAACTGTAGATTAAAGTGACTTTGATGAAATATGAGAATGTAAAGCTTAGATCTGATAAAGTTTCACGACTAAACAGTACATCACAGATGAGATGTTCAAAGACCGTTGGAATGTTAAAATTTGATACTTTAAATTTTCACATTCTCTGATAAACAGTGTAATTTGGGCAACTTTGTAAAGACAATATGTGTTTGAAGGTTCTGGATTCTCCCAGTGTGCATTTCAGCTCTGCGTTGACTGTAGTGTGAACATGAGCGCGAATGTTTGTTTGCCTTTATATGACACTTTATTTTTTTAAAATATTTTTTCTAGTGGCTCCATCTACGCCCATCTGTAAGATCGAGGGAAAGGCAGAGTACGGCCAGAACATCAACCTGACTTGCAAGTCTGAGGAAGGTTCTCCGCCACCCACGTACAAGTGGGAGAGTCGTGATGTACGGAACATGCCTCGTGTTCGAGACCCCAGAACCACTGACAGTAAGTACCAGCAACACATTAATCCTGGGAAAATAAGTCAACTGTCTTTGCATAAAGGTTCACATACTGTCGCAAAAGAACAACTATGACCACGATCGACTGAGAATAGAGACACACTCTTCTCCATTTAGTTTAATTTTTGCCATAAGGCCACTTCTGTGTCTATTCTTGGCCTTGTTTTCATATAAAGGTGAACCATAGGATGGCGTGTACTGTTCCTAAATCAAAAGACCTACTTTCTGAATACCGACGAAGCTCACAGTTGAGTTTTAGAGTGCTGGTTGAATATTTTCAAGATGTAGGCTTACAATTAGGTTTTGCAGCATCTGAGGGACCAAGCAGGCAGGCACAAGGAAAACAAGTTGAAAGTTTCAAAAACTAGGTATTTATTAAACAAAAATACCAAAAAGATACAACATAATGAAAAGCAAAAACAGTTCTGGGCCCATAAAAAGAGGTCAACTAAACAGAACTGAACTAAAGCAAATCCCAACCTAACCCGAACAGAACAGAGCACAAACTGACCTAACACTGACACACACACTGGGGTTTTTTAAACTGGCTGATCAGACCATTCAACAGGGGGATAGAAGAAACAAACACTACTAAACAAAGCACAAGAGACATAAGGCTAGGTTTAAGGGAAAACAACAAAAAAAGATAATATATTCTACATAATACTACTTGTATACAAACTCAAACAAATGCTTTTAACAGTAAACAAATCAAATAGTGAGGAGACTTCTTTTTTCCCACCCCCCTGGAGCAGCCACAGTTTGTCCCTTCCAACTACCCCTCATCACCAGGATTTGGGGCAGCTGGGCACACTGACTCCTCTTAACTGGGGCCACACCTGGAACTAGTGGTTTAATAAAGAAAAGAAAGTAAACAGAACATACAATGACAAAGTAACTAGAATGTGCACGCTAACAAACTAGAAACATTGTTGTGTATAAATAAAGCTGTGAGTATGGCATATGAAATCAGGACTATGTGTCATGCGATTTATCTGTCAATTGATGTGTGTGCATGATGACTGTAAAAAGAGCATAAACTAAATGATATAAATCAAAAGGTGTGGAGAGCAGGCAGTGTGGTGTGGGGATACTCCTTGTGGGGCTGCAGTGCAGCCATCACACAGCAAAACCCAGATTTTGAGGCTGATTCTAATGATCATATCTAATGTTTGTGGGATTAAAAACTTTGCTTATACAGGAATGACCAGAAAGTGATGTGTGCACTGAGAGCAGGACATTTTCCAGAAAAAAAAACTGTCTTCTCAGTGGCCTCTTGAAGACAGTATAAGCATGTATTTGGCCTTACTGTGAATCTTTTTTTTTTTTTTTCCTTATGAGCTGACACTGAAATTAAAAGTTAAAATTGGTCTCTACTTTCAAAGCTTGAATGTGAGTAATTCACATAAACGAGAAGTCAATTTTTGTCTCTTCTCTGTTACACCTTCCCATCAGTTAAATGCACAATAAATCTTTCAGGAACTGCTGAAAGAAACAGCACTGATTGATTAAAATAAGCAGCCATTGTTGTATTTTGCAGTACTTTGTACCTTTCAGACTATCCACAGCAGTAGCACCATCACATTTGTTGTCTATAAAGTAAAAAAGCAAAATGAATCATGATAGCAACGATATACATGTACAGTATATGTGACTGACTCTGTGTGTTTCAGAGGGAGGCATCCTGTCTCTTTTTAACGTCTCCATGGAAACATCAGGATACTACACCTGCACCTCAAGCAACAAGATCCGATCTGCTTCCTGTAACGTCACCCTAACGGTCATGCCGCGTAAGAGAAACCTTCTTATCGCAGCTTTTCATTTCTTTTCAATAAATACACCTTCACAGCAGTTTGTTAAAATATGCATCCTTCTCTTGTTCATTCACTCAACTCATCTTCCTTCAATCCCGCAGCATCCATGAACATCGGTTCCACTGCAGGAATCATTGCTGGAGCCGTCGCCGCCTTGCTCATACTCGGCATCATCATCTACTGCTGCTGCTGCCGAAAGAAGAACAAAGAGGAGGAATATGCAATGGGGTAATGGTTTTTCTCCTGTAAAGTTGCATTCAAACACAGAAGAAGATGATATTTATACTACGACCAGAGGTTAATGTTGCGTATCAGGTTGAATGAGCAGGTGGTCGGTCATTTCATGTCATTTACGGCTTACAAGTCGAGAAACTGACCGTTTGCTATTTGCTGAGATCATGACTGTAGAAAAGTGTTTGTAAAGTGCAGTTTTTCAGAAGGAAACATTTTGCGGTTTGTTTTAAAGGAAGGATGTGTTCTTGCTGAAAAGGCAAAAGACGAGAAAGCAATATTAACTGTCTGGGAAATGTCATTTTTAGTTTTACATCCTCTCTGTGTGGGTAAATTAATCATCAAGACAAACAAATAGAAAAATCTTTGACATTATGAATGGAGGGGCTGCACTTAACATCACATGCTTGCACTTAAAAAGTGCTAGAGAACTTTTTATCCTTTTTGTGTTTCTGTTTGTTTTGTAGTAGTTTGTTTGTTTAGTACTAAACAAGTACTAAACAAACAGACAAATCCAAGAAAACGTGCATTCCTTACACAAGTGGCATTCAAATGACTATACATGATTTGAACACAGACAATATCCCACCTACTACCTAACTACCACAGTGCATGAGATAAAAATTACAGACCAGTAATAGTTCAAGAAATCAACTAATAAACCGCCACTGGTACCAGATTTCTTTAGAAAACTTGGGCAAGCTATGTTCCTCAAACTGTTGTGTGTCCACTCTCCAGAGTTCCTGAGGATGAGTATTACGACAAGGAACCAGACAGAAATGGCGAGAGGCCACCGGCAAACAGGCAGGACAGCGATCCGAGTTACAATGACTCCAATCCAAAGAACGCTGGTGATCGACGTGACCAGTATGACGATAGGAGCGACTATGATGACCGGCGCAGCGACTATGATGACCGGCGCAGCGACTACGACGACCGGCGCAGCGACTACACCGGTCGACGCAGCGACTACGACGACCGCCGGGACAGGTACAGTGACCGCAACGAGCGCTACGACGACGGTGGCCGCCGCTATGATGACGAGAGACGCTACGACGACCGCAGAGGACCCCGCTATGATGACGACGACCGCTATGACGAGCCCTACGACCATGATGACAGACCACCAGTGCCTTCCAACCCCAAGCCAACAAGGAGAGATTAGGACAACTAAGATCTCCAACCTGCATCAAACCACCATCTTCTGTTGTACCTCTGTTGACTTCACTCCAATGACAAGTTACCTTGCACTTAGGGTGTTACCTGCTTGGTTATAATTGGCTAAAAGACGCTGCTATCATCTTAGAGCTAAAAGGTAGCATAATGTGATACTTTCTGTGAGGTGTGAGTTGTTTATTCATCCCCCTTTCAGACATACACTCCTTTCCGTTAACCAGATGGCATCTGAATGCACGGCTTCATGTCAAAATGAGCACCCTCTTCATTTTTCTGTAAAAGTCATAACAGCATTCTTATGACATTTCTGCATCCCCTACGACACGGCACAAGTCTTAACTGCATGCCATCGCATTATCTAATAGGCATGCACAAGCAATATGCTTCCAGCTGTTTGTAGGAATCTTTCCTCTGAATTGATCAAATACCTGCAGCAACAAATAGTAGCAGAATCCTTATGAATGTCTCTGAAGCAAGAGGGTTGCATGCATTTATGTGTTGAACAGCAGAAGTAATTTCATTAGTTAGTTAAAATCATAAATTATCTCTGACATGGAGACATGACTGGTTAGGATCTAACTGCAAACCACACTGGGACAAGTAAGGAATCAGCTGTTACATTAGCAGATTTACTACTGTCCAGTGTTGTGTGTGAGACAAATTGGACAATCGCCATCACTGTCGTGGGTATGTCTGAATGAAACCACGGGCATCTTTAATGGAAAAGTGCCACATGTCTGAATGACAGAATGCTGGCACTTTAACAGACTGGCGAAGTCCACAATGTTGCAGATCATATGTGAAGAAAAGGGTTTCACATTAACACAATGTAAGTGTATTTGGGAGGAGGAAGACAGAGAGGGGTCAGTTTGGGAAAAGGCAGGGAATCCAGAATGGTGCCTACAAATCCCATCTGATCTGTGTTTAACAGGAAGGGAGTGGGTGAAGTCAACAGGTACAGTCACTATTTGTGGTATAAACACTCCCCGGGGTCTTTACGTATGCAAAGCTTACACGATACATAAATAATAGGCACTGGACAAGCATTTCACAGATCCCCCCCCAAAAAATATTTAATAGAGTACAGGTTTGGATTTTAAAGTAATACATGTGTCTGATACATTCACTCTAATCTAACAGGCTAGTTGAGTAGCTTACGACCTTGACAAAGCTTTTGATTGGCTAATTATATGAGCTCATAAGAGTACAGCATATAGGATTATTGATGCAAATCACGAAGAGAGCAGTGACACTGTAAAAGTTTGCTGTTTTTTCAAATTTGCTACTGATACAGATTTGTCATCGAGGAGAGTAACAACTGATATTTGGAACAGATTCATTTGCAGTAATTTTTTTAAAAATCTTGATGCCAAAATTTAGAATAACATACACCCCACCACAGAATTTAATCTAAAGACCCTTGTTTATGATTTTTTTTTTTTAGATATGTTTAATTAAAAGATAACTTCTTACTGTTTATGCATGAGTGTTGATAGGCTGTTACTCGTGACCTGTAACTCATATCAAGGCAGGACACTGCTCAACAAAACAGGAGACTTCATGTAGAGAAGCAGCCACAGGTGGGGTGTTTTTTTTATTATTATTTTATTGGTAAACTGTTAAAAATGGATAAAATGGTTAAAATGCTGAACGTTAAATCTTCCAGGCCGATATACAGCCTCTACCCTATATGTCTCATTCTTGTATATTTTCTTTTCTGGTGGATAACTTGTCTATTGAGAATGTAACATGCTTTAATGTGATG